CCGGCAGGCTGCCTGCCACCAGACTAGCTGAGTTCCCAGTTACTAGCAACCTCTGTGGCTCAGGCACTGTGGTCCAGCAACATCTGTGGACCACCAATTTTGTCGGACCAGAGATTCTCGGACCAGAGAGGTTCAACCTGTACCAATGTTGTTAGTGCTGCAGTGTACAAGAAAAAAATCCAGCCCATTAAGAGTAGCAGCCAAGTGGAGTTGGATACAGATTAGGGATGTGAAAGTGTAACCGTTTGCACGGTTAATCGATGAACCTGGGCCCCATGGTTAACTAATGAGCCTGGGCTCATTGGTTAACCGGTCACGGTTGTCTGCAGTCTCCTGGTATGCCACCTGTCCCCCATGTAACCCTTGAAATTTTCAGCGGTTACAGGTTTGTTTAATTAAATGCGTTTTGACATCCCTAATATAGACAGATGGGTATGGCTCACATGAGGGAAGACAATAGAAAGCAGATCATTAGGGATGTTGCATGCTGTGGAGGGGAGACAGGACATAGGCTGGGTTTGGCTGGAGGGTGTGGTGGGAGTCAAAGAGCCGCAAGGTGAAAGGGGCGCTTTCCTCCTCAGTGCCTGTCCTGCAGCAGCGGGACAAGGGGGGGAGGGAGGGGCGGCCAAAAATGTTATTGCTTGTGGCAGTAAAAAACCTAGAGCCGGCCCTGATCCCTTCACCAAGCACTCTGAGATACAGAAGCTGACTAATACACAATGAGTGTTACTGGTGTTCAACAATTATGAAGATCAGATTCCAACTGTGCTCCCCAGTTCATATAGAATTTTGAAGATTCTTTTTGTTCCTCTTTGATGTGCTTAATTAATGATAATGTTACATTGACATAGCACTTGTAAGTCCTCACCACACAGGCTAGTGGGTCCTCAGCTGGTTTCCTCTCTCTTTCTAGCTCTGCGTCTTCCATCTCTTTATATCATTCAGAGAAATGAAAATAAAGATAATGTTTTCTAGAAACCAAGATAGACAGATAGAAATTTTTAATCCTGAAGGATAACAAAGCGCTTAACAACACACGTACAGGGATATAATATAGCTACCTCTTAGACACAACCACCTCTGGAACAAACTACAGGTTGGACCTCCTTGGTCCAGCACCCTCAGGTCCTGGCCAGTCCTGGATGAGGGATTTTGTTGGACTGGGGAAGATCATGTCTCAGGAAGGTCATATGCCATGGCCTCACTCCAGCCTCTCAGCTGGCTTCCCTCTATTACCAGCCCACTTGCATGCAGAACTCCTGGCCCCACCATGGCATCCCTACCCTTGGCATATACAACCCATTACTAGGCTACTGGCCCCCCTGCTGGGGTCCAACTGTTCTGCCTCACTCAGCAGCCCCATTACCTCCCAGCCTGATCAGGCAGGCCCATTGGGCAACAGCAGGGATGCCAGGCTCTTTGCTGCGCCACCAGGCAACAGCCCCACTCTCAGCTTCCTGGGCCTGCTGCCAGACAGCCCTGCAGTCAGGATCCTGGCTCTGTGGGGCAGCCGTGCTCCTTCCTAGTGTCACTGGGCATCTGTGCCACTTGCTGCTTGGATCCAGCCTCGCTGCCTCTCGCCCCCCACACCCAGCAGTATCTGTACCTAGGCCCCCAGGGCAACCCCTCTCCTGGGCTCCAGCCCCATTGTTTTGATCCCAGCCACCAGATAGACCAGGGATGTTGCCGGATCAGAGAGTCCCAGTTAAGAGAGATTCGACCTGTGGTTGTTTTCAACGGACTAATATTACCCAACAGACTTAGGCAAGACAAGCAGGAGAACAATATCCACCTGAAATTAAGTGGGGGGGCCCCCAGGGCAACCCCTCTCCTGGGCTCCAGCCCCATTGTTTTGATCCCAGCCACCAGATAGACCAGGGATGTTGCCGGATCAGAGAGTCCCAGTTAAGAGAGATTCGACCTGTGGTTGTTTTCAACGGACTAATATTACCCAACAGACTTAGGCAAGACAAGCAGGAGAACAATATCCACCTGAAATTAAGTGGGGGGGCGAGGGTGGGGGGGATTTTAGTGAGGCAGAATGTTGCTTTGTGTTCTAGACACTGGTTGACAGAGATTTACAGAAGCAAAACTGCAACTTTAGAGGAAATCAAGGCTTCTGAAACCAGACAAATGCTGGGGAGAAATTAGATTGGATTTTGCAATAAAAGAACATGGGAATCACAGAAAAGAAGTCAATCCCATAACTTCCTGAAAGGCAAATCTGCAACCTCCATTCTTACAGTTTCCTTATGACACGTCTTAGAGATTAAAAGGAAGGATACGTAATGGTGTTGTGAGCTGCTCCCAGATTTTCCATATGGTTTAAAACATAGATCAGTCCAAAGGTGAACACTCCGACCATGTGTGTGCTTAAGGACAGCAAGAAGAGGAAAAAATATCGGTAGTTCCTCCGTCCTATGCAATTGTTGACCCAAGGGCAGTGGTGGTCAAAGTCCTTGTAAAAAGATGGAGAGACAGGGAATAATACCCAAGCAGTGAAAGAAAAACATCACCTTAGAAATAAATGCAAACCATTGTGTTATAGCCAACCACACCCCAAATTTGGGAATAATCAGATTAGGTTTGGAGTTTTGCAGAAAGGCTCCATCCTGGCATTACCTGGCTGCCCATGTAATATAACAACAAGCTACATCCTTTTTATAAGAGTGGCATGGAGGGACTCATATGGCAGTGGATACACTTATTGGTTTAAAAAGGGGACAAAGCTGTATATCACATTGTGGGGTGAAGACAGTTTCTCTTCTTTTCTGGCACCTGTAACATTGTATAATTATGAACCAAAAGATATCATAGTAAGATTATCATAAATTATAGTATCTTGAACCTGTAACATCCCTGCCAACTCTAAATTCCCCCCTCCATCATAATCATCATCTTCTCATCATCTTCTATATATTTTAGAAATGTGTCTGCCTGTCTGTTTCTCCATCCACCTGTGAGTTAGTTTGTTCAAAAACAACTCCTAAACAATAAGGGCCAGGAGTACCAAATTTGGTATGCAGCTTCCTCTTATCATTACTTAAAATAAGGTCAGAGTTTGGTTGTGCCATGATAATGAGATGTGCCTGGAGTTTGATTGTTTCTCATAGAATGGAAGGGAGAGGTCTGACAGGAGGGAGTTATATTGTATAATGACCAGATGGGCAGCTAGGGGCAAGAGACTGGGACCGGGACAGCTATAACCCAATTGAGTCAGCATGGCGCAAGGGTGAAGAAAAGGACAGCTAGATACAGCTGCTATACATCCAAGATACATTTCAAAGAACATAGACATACAGTGAAACAACATGCAGCGGGGAATTTTTCCCCCATGGCTGATGTCCATTTGCACAAATTGGGGTGGAGGGTGCAAAGTAAGTGCAGGGAATATAATGCATCGGTTCCTACAAGCATCAACAACACTAGTGTGGAATGTATGTATACCAGAGCAACTTATAGCGGGGATGCCCTGTGCTATATATTTCAGAGAGTTTGTCTGTTTGAGTGTCTGTCTGTGTCTCCCCCAGCCAGGAGGCATGCACCCCTCCCCTACGCTTCATTTGCATAGGCTTTGCATAGCAAAAGTCATAGGGTAGCCATAGCCTAACTGTATCCAGGCACTACCAGAATGTACAAGGAGATAAGCAACCAAGTTTGAGACTGCAATTTATTGATTAATGAATCATTAATGTCTTTACTTATATCTCTCAGTAAGTTTCACCTTTTAATTATACAGCAAAAGGCTCTCTGTTAGCCAATCCAATTACCAAGTAATACTGAGTTGGTTTAGGCATAAGTAAAATTCCTCAGAACTAGAATCTGTAGCAATGAAAATGTGCCTTTTGATTCAATCTGAGTTCCAAGCCATTTTATTTGTAATGGGAAGTTACTCTGGGATTCCTTCCCACTTTTCATTCTGACAAGATTGTGGCCATGCTCCCACTAGAGACATGGATGGAATTGCAAGACTTCATACTATTTAGTTTCAGACAATGTTGGGCTGTCAATACTTCCTTTATTGAAAATAGAGATTTCACACAGACACTGAAAGGTGGGAACAAGTATTTCAAATCTGTCTGACTTGAAATTCACTTGGTTAATTTTAGCCCATTGCCAACTTGGGATTCCAATTATTTTAATTATGTAGTTGAATACATTTTAAAAATATAGTAAAGATTTAAATCACTCTAATAAAAATACACCTTACAATAGAAATTATTCTTAAGAAGTGGAATTTGTAGCTTGATAATAAAAATTTCCATGGCAATAAAACACCAGGGTTATAGTCCTCTGTATTTATGAGTCTGGGAGATGTTTACAGCCCAATAACATAATCCATTACTTTGGGGTTATTGTTTAAATATGCTCTGTGTTTCACCACAACCTCAAATATATCAATATGTAGCCAAGCCTCGTAACTTAGAAGAATTAGAAACATGCAAGAGGACATGGCTATAGGATTCCTAATTGCAGTTCATATATGGGTATGTAGTATATTAATATTAGACTCAGGAATTCTTATTTTATTCTTCCTAAAATTCATATGTCACTGAGTGTTATGATTTACAATAAAAAAGCACATTCCTTTAGTTAGTTATATTTACATATTTAATAGGCAGCTAAGCAGAAAGATCGGGAATAGTGCAAGTCTCATCCTAAATTCTGCCAATGCACAATAACCTTCTCCTGAAATGCTTCCAGTTTCATAAGCATTAGGCTACTCCTGAGAAGAGACAGTTCATAGAATCATAGAATCATAGAAAAATAGGACTGGAAGGGACCTCGAGAGGTCATCGAGTCCAGCCCCCCGCCCTCAAGGCAGGACCAAGCTCCGTCTACACCATCCCTGACAGATGTCTATCTAACCTGTTCTTAAATATCTCCAGAGAGGGAGATTCCACCACCTCCCTTGGCAATTTATTCCAATATTTGACCACCCTGACAGTTAGGAATGTTTTCCTAATGTCCAATCTAAACCTCCCCTGCTGCACTTTAAGCCCATTACTCCATGTCCTGTCCTCAGAAACCAAGAGGAACAAATTTTCGCCTTCCTCCTTGTGACACCCTTTTAGATATTTGAAAACCACTATCATGTCCCCCCTTAATCTTCTTTTTTCCAAACTAAACAAGCCCAGTTCATGAAGCCTGGCTTCATAGGCTTCTCTAGACCTTTAATCATTCTTGTCGCTCTTCTCTGTACCCTTTCCAATTTCTCCACATCTTTCTTGAAATGTGGCGCCCAGAACTGGACACAGTACTCCAGCTGAGGCCTAACTAGTGCAGAATAGAGCGGCAGAATGACTTCACGAGTTTTGCTTACAACACACCTGTTAATACAACCTAGAATCATATTTGCTTTTTTGGCAACAGCATCACACTGTTGACTCATATTCAACTTGTGGTCCACTATGACCCCTAGATCCCTTTCCGCCATGCTCCTTCCTAGACAGTCGCTTCCCATCTTGTATGTATGGAACTGATTGTTCCTTCCTAAGTGGAGCACTCTGCATTTCTCCTTATTAAACCTCATCCTGTTTACCTCTGACCATTTCTCTAACTTGCTAAGGTCATTCTGAATTATGTCCCTATCCTCCAAAGAAGTTGCAACCCCACCCAGTTTGGTATCATCTGCAAACTTAATAAGAGTACTCTCTATCCCAATATCTACATCATTGATGAAGATATTGAACAGTACGGGTCCCAAAACAGACCCTTGAGGAACTCCACTTGTTATCCCTTTCCAGCAGGATTTAGAACCGTTAACAACAACTCTCTGACTACGGTTATCCAGCCAATTATGCACCCACCTTATCGTGGCCCTATCTAAGTTATATTTGCCTAGTTTATCAATAAGAATATCATGCGAGACCGTATCAAATGCCTTACTAAAGTCTAGGTATATGACATCCACCGCTTCTCCCTTATCCACAAGGCTCGTTATCCTATCAAAGAAAGCTATCAGATTAGTTTGGCATGACTTGTTCTTCACAAACCCATGCTGGCTATTCCCTATCACTTTATTACCTTCCAAGTGTTTGCATATGATTTCCTTAATTACCTGCTCCATTATCTTCCCTGGGACAGACGTTAAACTGACCGGTCTATAATTTCCTGGGTTGTTCTTATTCCCCTTTTTATAGATGGGCACAATATTTGCCCTTTTCCAGTCTTCTGGAATCTCCCCTGTCTGCCATGATTTTTCAAAGATCATAGCTAAAGGCTCAGATACCTCCTCTATCAGCTCCTTGAGTATCCTGGGATGCATTTCATCAGGACCTGGTGACTTGCTGACATCTAACTTTCCTAAGTGATTTTTAACTTGTTCTTTGTGTATCCTATCTTCTAAACTTACCCTCTCTCTGCTTGTATTCACTACGTTAGGCACACCTCCAGACTTCTCGGTGAAGACCGAAACAAAGAAGTCATTGAGCATCTCCGCCATTTCCAAGTTCCCTGTTACTGCTTCTCCCTCCTCACTAAGCAGTGGGCCTACCCTGTCCTTGGTCTTCCTCTTGCTTTTAATGTATTTATAAAAGGTCTTCTTGTTTCCCTTTATGCCTGTAGCTAGTTTGATCTCATTTTGTGCCTTTGCCTTTCTAATCTTGCCCCTGCATTCCCGTGTTGCTTGCCTATATTCATCCTTTGTTAGTTGTCCTAGTTTCCATTTTTTATATGACTCCTTTTTTATTTTGAGATCATGCAAGATCTCCTTGTTAAGCCAAGCTGGTCTTTTGCCATATTTTCTATCTTTCCTACACAGCGGAATTGTTTGCTTTTGGGCCCTTAACAACGTCCCTTTGAAATACTTCCAACTCTCCTCAGTTGTTTTTCCCTTCAGTCTTGCTTCCCATGGGACCTTACCTACAAGTTCTCTGAGCTTATCAAAATCTGCCTTCCTGAAATCCATAACCTCAATTGTGCTGGTCTCCCTTCTACCTTTCCTTAAGATCATGAACTCTATTATTTCATGATCACTGTCCCCTATACTGTCTTCCACTTTCAAGTTCTCAACTAGTTCCTCCCTATTTGTTAAAACCAAATCCAGAACAGCTTCTCCTCTGGTAGCTTTTTCAACCTTCTGAAACAGAAAGTTGTCTCCAATGCAGTCCAGAAACTTATTGGATAGCCTGTGCCTCGCTGTGTTAGTTTCCCAACATATGTCTGGATAGTTGAAGTCCCCCATCACCACCAAATCTTGGGCTTTGGATAGTTTTGTTAATTGTTTAAAAAAGGCCTCATCCACCTCTTCCACCTGGCTAGGTGGCCTGTAGTAGACTCCTAGCATGATATCACCCTCGTTTTTTACCCCTTTTAGCTTAACCCAGAGACTCTCTACACAGCTATCTCCTACGTTCATCTCCACTTCAGTCCAAGTGTGTACATTTTTAATATACAAGGCAACCCCTCCTCCCTTTTTTCCCTGTCTGTCCTTCCTGACAGAATGTGCTCAGCATGTTTGTCTTAGACCTGCCCACTCTTCCCTGTTGAAGAAACAAAAACATGAATAGGAGTACCAATTCATGCATTGAATTTTGGTGGAGAAAGTGGCATTGATGACAAGGATCACATCTAATTCAGTTTCCACATGTGACGTCAATCAGATGGAGAGTAGGAGTCTTAGGAAATGGATTGTCATTAGTGGAGCTTTACAGTAATTTATGCTCACTGAGAATTTGGCTTTTTCTCTCTAATTATTTTTAGAAGTGAAAGATGGGGAGACATCTAGCTGTTCACACAGATCCACCACCCAAATCCCAGCCAAAAGATCAAATCAATCAGACTTACCTCAACACAGTTGTCACAGACACTGCAATGGGAGCAACGGGGTGGGCGATAGAAATGGCAGGTGGCACACCATTTCATCCGTACTTGGATTCCTTTAATCTCCACATTCTTGTACAGCGGAGCTCGGAAGTCATCATCTTTATCTTCATCTTCATCTGCTGCTCAATGCAAAAATATAAATACACAAAATCAACAGAGTACCATTAAAAGGTGGGAGCTCTAATACTGTCAGGGTCAAACACATGAACGCTACATTTGTTCAGGTGTTTTTCAGGGAAATAAAAAAGCATTAGAAGTGATGTAGTATCAGAAAGGGGTGTGCTGATTGCAGAAAGACTGAATGTTCCAGGCTCATTTTAGTAGCCAAGAGAATATTCCCATTACAAGTATTGCCTTGCTAACCAGCCCACAGATCTCACATGATTCTTGTTTTAGACACCATTTGCTCCCAGAAAAGTATAACTTGAACTCAAATGGTTTCAGAATGGGGAGGAAATCTACAGTGCTTCCCAAGCCCTTGTGGTGAGAAGTTTGTTGCATATATTAGCAGACTGAATCTGACCACGAAGTGATCAGTTAATTAGAACGGCAATAAAGGATGTCAAGAGAAGACTGAATTAGCTTAAAAACAAAAACCCAAACACGTTTTCCCAAATAAACTAATTATTTGACTCATTAGTACTAACCCAGAAACCAGCTTCTCCAACATAGTCTGACATGCTATTCTGATCAATGAAACATTCCATTCAGAAGACACATACACAGTCTGGGGCCAGCAAAGGGCTAAACAGGTGGGGCAATAGGATTTATTTCATTGTAACACTCTGAATGCTATTACATTAGCAAAATTACAGGACTGGAAAGATCTCACCTCTGTGAAAACCAGCATGGTCTAGTGAGCTGAATCTGGGACTGAGATGAAAGAAGTTCTAAGTCTGACTCTGCCACTACCCCACTATGAGGCCGTGGGATAGTCACTTAACATCTGTTTGCTCATTTGTAAGATGGAAATGGTATAATATAGCAAAATCCTCTTATTTGGGACAATATGCTGGATGATTCATCAGCTCACTAAGCAACTGCGCTTATTAAAAGGCAAGAGCATTTAAAAGTAAATAAATGAAAGCCTGTCTTGAAAAGACATGAAGAAAAGAAAAAAATGTTTAACTGAAAATTCTTGTAGGAATGAGAGTGATGTTTGTGACATTTAATCTTTTGTTTCATGTTCTTTTAACCTTTATTTGGCAACTGAATGAATTTCATACTGAATCAGCATCTCATTAAACATAACACAGGCACCTGGTTTTGGCTGAGTGGGTGCTAAATAGGTGCAATTTGAAAATATTGTCCCAGTACCAATAGTCACTGCCATTCATTCCTGTATTAAATTTTACTTGGAAGATGTCCCAATAGAGGGGCTGTCAGAGTTAGTACATCTCTATTAAAATTATCCAGTGTCCAAAGAAGTTAGTGGCTTAGAAAAACTTTGATGCTCTTCCCACTTATACAGATAAAACTCAACCCCATGCAATTCTGATCCAGCATTGGACTTTGCATCTGGCGTTTGGTTCAAGCCCACTTCTAATTGTTTTTTTAAGAGTTTGTTCCAGTTTAATCCACTGCCATTTAGCTCTTCCTTTCTGAGAACTAATCACTCCTATTTTATATGCTCTGGAAGCCTGTTTGCTTTCCAGTGCTGCATGGAAATAACACACAGAGAGGGAACAATATCTTATTGTGAGGATTCTCTCACTCTCATTCACTGAGACAATGTTGGCAATTCTTATAATTTTATCACAAGTCTTGTGATATTTGGTGAGTCACCCAAACTCTGAAATCATGTGATTACATGAGGAACTCAGATTATTTTTCTCTGTATGTTTCTACTCCTTATGGATGTAGTGACAATTTTGAGAACATTAACTCTAATGGCTCAAAATCCAGACGACAAATACATTTATTCATTTCATTAGTGTGACGATTTTTGAACTCCTGGTACTGGCAGTACTGTTGAGCAGCTTTTGCAGGGTACAGCATGTGTACCAAAGAAAACCAAAATGGCATTTTTTCCCTTTTCCAGGTTGGTTTGACAGATTGAGTCTCCCTTCAGTTTTCCCCCTTCTTCTCAGACTTTGGCTATACTTCTAAGTTCAAAGTGCTGTCATGGCACTCTGATCATGGGACCAGCACTGGAAGAGAGCACTTCCAGCGTTCTTGGTAAACCTCCTGCACGAGGGGAGTAGAAAGGTGATGAGAGAGTTTCCCTAGACAGATGTTTCTTCTTGACTTGCCAGTGTTGCTTTTTCTTCCTTTGAAATCAGAGGGAAGAAAAAGGTTCTTTCTAATGGAAAAAGTGTGACAGTTTAAGAGACAAGGGCTGGTTTATCCTATGAAGAAGGAACATAAGAATTTCTTTCTTTCCAGAGCACCAACATAAGGCTCAGGCAGAATGGAGACACCGGCATTCCCTGTGCACTGAAGAGAGACTGGCAGTGTTGCCAAGTAGATCTTCAGTCCTGTGTGCCTGTAGCTCGAGGTCTCCCTCCTACAACATCTAGAAGCAGGTGGCAGTGGAGAGCATGCTACATCTTTCACCAGCAGCTCTGTAAACAAAACATCTCTTTTGTCTGTCTTGAGCAACCAGAATGCCTCAGATCTTTTCTGTTTGGCCAATACAACTCAACCACAACCCCCCACAAGTCCAAGTAGGAACTAGGGCATGATATACACTAAAGATGTTAAGTATCATGTAATTGACTAATTTAATAGTTGATGCATTTTTGCATCGACTATTTGATTAGTCAATAGAGTGGTGCTGACCCTTTGAAATGCCACAACAGCATTTCAAAGCAGCAGCACCACATGGAGCCCAGGGTCAGTCGGGGCGTCCCCAGGTGATCACGGGCTCCGCACAGTGCTACCCCCTTGAAATGCTGTGGTGGCGTTTCAAAGT